GACAACCAGCAGAGAGGAAATCAAAAGATGGATTGCATTTGGGAAGTCTTCTGTGAGGAACCCCTCCAAAGTGCTAAAGAGTAATAATGTCTAGGGACTAAGGTGCACCTGATCCAGGCCATGGTCTTCACAATTACTTGCTATGCATCAAAGAACTGGTCTAAAGAGATAAAAGGAAGAATCTATGCTTTTGAATTGTAGAGCTGGAGAAGAGTATGAAGTATACCATAGACCTCCAAGGGAATAAACACATCTGTATTGGAGGAGGTGAAACTGGGTTGCTCCTTTGAAGCAAGGATTTTGAAGCTCCAACTCACATACTCTGGACATGTATGGCCAGAAGGGACCAGTCCTTCGAGGATATCATGCTTGGAAGGGTGGAAGGATATCACAAGTGAGGAAGACCCCAGATGAAATGGATTGACACAGCAACTGGGGTAATGAGGGTAGGTGTGTATGAGCCAGTGAGACTGGTTTAGGAAAGGGTCAGGTTCAAAGCGATTGTGCAAACATAGTGTCATTATGAGTGAGTTACAGGCGACTCAATGGCACTTAACAACATGTTGGCTGGTTGGGGGTAGTTACAACAGTTTCGAGGGCCTGGGGCCATCATCCATTATTTCAGTACTTAGAATACTCCTGGGGTGGGTATTATATTACTATCTCCTGGAACACAGGGATGTATTTGGGTATGGTCAGTTGTTGTTATTAGGTGTCATTGAGTCAAGCACAACTCATAGCAATCCTAAGAAGAAAAGATCTGTGTATCCCAACATATTTTTCCCAATAAAATAAAAAAAAAAGAACAAAATATCTGAGCCCTGTTTTGTCCTGCGCCATCCTCACACTTCCTGACACACAAGAGCCCATGGCAGCAGTCACTGTATCAATCCACCTGGTTGAGGGTCTTCCTCTCCTTTGCCAACCCTGCATCCTTCCCAGCATCATGGCCTTCTGCAAGGAATAGCACCTCCTAGCAACATGTCCAAAGTATGTGAGACAAAGGCTAATCATTCTTGTCTCCAAAGAGCATTCTGGCTAGACCCTTTCCAAGACATACTTATTCATCTTCTTGGCCATCCATGGGATGTTCAGTGCTCTTCTCCAACATCACAGCTCAAAGGCATCAATTCTTTTTCTGTCATCCTTATTCATTTTTCCAGGTCTCGGATGCATAGCTAGTAATCGGAAAGGCGATGACCTGAATCAGATGCACCTTCATCTTCAAGCTGACATCACTATTCCTTAATAATTTGAGAAGGTTCCTAACTACAGATTTTTCCCAGTGATGCAGCTCCTTATTTCCCAAGTGCTGGTACCAAGGGTGTTTATTTGTGGATCCAAGCAAGACGAAGCTGTTGACAGTTTCAATCTCCTCTCCACCCATCATGACATTGCCTGTCCATCCAGTGGTAAAAATCTTTGTTTTCCTGACATTGAGATCCAATCCATACTGAAGGCTGCATTCCTTGATCTTCTGCAACAAGTGTTTCAAGTCCTCCTCACTTTCAACAAGCAAGGTTGTGTCATCTGCATAACGCAGGTTATTGATGAGTCTCCCTCCTATCCTGATGACACACTCCTCCTCATAGAGTCCAGCTTCTCATGTAATTTGCTCAGCATACAGATTGAATAGGTATGAAGAGAGAATACAACCCTGACGCGCTCCCTTCCCAATCCAAACCATGCAGTGCTTACCTGCTCTGTTCATACAACACTTCCCGGTGCAGATATAAGGTTCCACATGAGCACAATCAAGTGCTCTGGGATTCCCATTCTCCTCAAAGTCAGCCACAGCTAGTCATGATCCACACAGTCAAATGCCTTTGTATAGTCAATAAAGCGTAAATATATATTCTTTTGGTACTCTTTCAGCCAGGATCCATCTGACATTAGCAATGAGATCCCTGGTGCCATGGCCTCCTCTAAATCCTGCTTGAATTTCTGGCAGTTTCCTTATCTATGTACCATTCCAGCCATTTTCCAGATATATGTTCTTCCATCTAGAGCCAAAGAGGAAGAACTTGAGAATTTTTACCAAATTTTGCAGTCTGAATTTGACCAAACATGAAGTCAGGATGTGTTAATGATAACTGGTGACCGGAATGCAAAAGCAGGAAACAATGAAGAAGGAACAGTGGTTGGAAAATATATGGGCTTGGTGATAGAAATGAGGCTGGAGATGATTAAATTTTGTATTTACAATGATTTATTCATTGTAAATACCTTTTCTAAAAGTCACAAAAGACAATTTTGCCTGTGGATCTCACCTGATGGGCTGCGGAGGAATCAGATTGACTACATTTGTGGAAGAAATAATTGAAGAAGCTCAAACTTGGTAGTCAAAACCAGGCCAGGGGCAGAAGGTGAGCAGAATGGAACCTCCTTGGTTTCAACTTTACATTCCCCATTCAAGGCAAAGATCTTCTAAAAGCTACTTTCTGCTGGAATGGGGTGAAGTCAGGGAAGGGGGTCTTATGCTGAAGGGTACTCAGGTGAAATTTGTCAATCCTGAAATCTAGTGACCAGGAACTGTCGCAAGTTCTGGTTTGTGAAGGCTTCATTTCTTCTACAATGACAACAAGCTGGGGCTCCACAGACATGAGGATAGGGAGGGCTCCATCAGTCTTCCATGGCAGCAAGACCAACCAGGCCTGGCAAGGCAGAAGGCCCCGAGAAGGAAGGGCCTGGCAGTGGGACTTCCAACGTGGTCCTCCACACACCGGTGTGGTGTAGTTGGAGGCGCAGTTGGTCGGGGCCTCCCCTTAAGCAAGCACTAGCCTTGGACTGACTGGCCTTTTCCCCCATGAGTCAGGGGATGGTGCGAACAGGCTCAAGTCCTGGATATGGATTGCTTCTCAACTGCAGTGAGAAGAGGATGGTGGAAGAAGTCCTCTCCCAACACGGGCCACCGGATGGATGAAAGGTCCCAAATCACTCCAAAGTCCAGAGGCAACACTAGCCAAATGGATAGCAAATGTGCTTTATTATTTAAAATGCATGCTTTGGTGAGAGCAGACTGAGCCCCTTCAACCGGCATCAGCCTCTTTATCTGTTGTTGTTGTTAAATGGCATCGAGTCATAGACAATGGCTCATAGTGACCCTATGAAGGAAAGACCTGGACACTTGTTTAACTTTCATCCTCTCTCCAAGTTCATAGGGTTTCTGGAGGCAAGCTATTTCGGAAGTGGATGCCACACCTGCTTCCAAGCTTGTTTTAATCGGGGAGCTCCACCAAACACTGTCCACCATGGGTAACATTATTGCATTTGACACATCGGTGTCACAGTGTTCAGCTTCACAGCAACCACAAGTTACCTCTGTACAGCAATGCACAGACCAGGGCTATACCACTTAGAAGAATGTTTGACCAAAAAAAATTAAAACCGGGTCTGAGGGCCTGTGAATGTTTTATATTTTAGACTAAGTCCTAACTGATGTTTAGGCCTCTCCCTGAGCATCTAATTTCTCTTACAAGCCACCACCACATTCATCCCAGCAACATTAACCTTAATATATTCATATTATGCCTTACTTTTAAATCTTGTTTTTGCCGTGAAAGCAGGTAACACTTAAAGCTTTCCTTTCCTTGGTCTTAATCTACGTTCCCAGTTACAGCTCTTATTCTGCTCCCCATGAACTCTTTAACAAAATTAGTCTATTAAATTCCCTAGAATTTACTTTATTCATTTTCCTTTTTAGCACCTCCTTTGTCCACAGGGGAGGTCTGTTGGCTTAGTGGTAAATAATTGTGCTGTCAACCCAAAGGCAAGCAGTTTGAAGTTACTAGATGCTCCTCATGGGCCTCTCCAGAGTGTTGAAGAGCAATGATGTCAATCTAGAGACTAAGGTGCACCTGATCCAGGCCATGGTTTTCTCAATTACTTGTTATGCTTCAGAAAGTTGAACAATGACTAAGGATGAAGTAGAATAGATGCCTTCAAGTTGTGGTGCTGGAAAAGCGTCTTAAACATACCGTGGACTGCCAAGAAAACAAATAGGTCTGTCTTGGAGAGGGTGAAACCAAGTCTCTCCTTGGAGGCTAGGATTTTGAAGCTCCACCTCACTTTGGGCACGTGGCCAGGAGAGATCAGTCCTTGGAGAAGGACATCGTGCTTGGAAGGGTTAACGGACAATGCAGGAGAGGGAGACCCCAGATGAGAGAGATTGATAGTGATTAGGGCAATGGAGGTTGGTGTGTCGGAGTTAGTGAGACTGACTCAGGACAGGGCAGGATTCAGAGCTGCTGTACATAGGGTCACTATACATCGTAGGCGACTCAACGGCATATAACAACAATAACATACTAATAACATACAAAAAACCATACAGGTTTGGAAGCAGGAGTGGCATCCACTTCCTAAACAACATGCCTCCAGAAACTCTATGAACTTTGATAAATGTCGATAGTTACAGAGGGGCTTCAGGCCTTTTCTTAACAGGGTCGCTATGATTCGTGCTCAACTAGAAGGCAATTAACAACCACAACAACAACAAGATGCTCCTCTGGGGGGACGGACAATCTCCTCTTAGGCAAAACTTCTAGAGGCTCAGTTATGAGTCGTCTCGTATGTAACAACACAGCATTTGTTCCCCTACACTGGATACTTTTCTCCCCTCTTTTATTTTTCCCACCCACTATCCTTGAGAGTCTATCTCCTCTGTGAAATCTTCCCTCAATATAACAACTTCCTTGACCCAAATGTCAACAAGCTTAAATCTGTCTCATTCTTTGGGCACTTACCATGTCTTACCACAAACTGCTTTCTCCTCAAGGATAACGTAAACGTTCCAAGAAAAAAAAAATAGTGTTTCCCTCAAAATTCCACTAGGTTTTAGCCAGTATCAATTATTTGTTTTACAATTACTATTTTCTACCATTGTATAAAAATAAAAAAATGCAACAGAGACATGCTCATTAAAGAGTTTATGTTCATCCAGAAACATATACCCCAAGTTTTCCGTGGCGTGTCCTCCCAATGCTTTAATCGTTTGTTCTTCAGAAGCATCTTTGGTGCACTATGTTGGGTCCGTACTCTTTGTATTCTGCAGCCGTGATCCACATATCCTGGAAGGCAGATAAAGACGCAAGAATGGAACCTCCCATCCACGCAGACATTCTTCTTTCTGGGGGAGCTATTACCTGCACAGAAGTGTTAGCAGGTGCCATCTTTGCTATCTCCCTGACTAGTCGATTCTCCAAACCCAGAAAAGAGGTTGAACCCCCAGAAAGGACAATGTTGGAAAAGAAGGCACCCCTCAGATCATTATCACATTTCATGATGCTGTTGACACACATCTTATCAATGCCAGGGGCCTCAAGGTTCACGAGACGTGGCGTGAAGAGGGCTTCTGGACAACGACAAAGCTGGTCATGGAGCTTGACGGTCTTCCCATCAGGCAGCTGGTAAGCTTTTTCCAGACTTTCAGGTGTCTTGGCTATCTCCTCCTCATAGTCTGTTGCCACATAGCAAAGGCTTTCTTTAATATCTACAATGACATTTTTGTCTGCAGCACCATGCTGGGTGATATTATGATTCTTCAACAGCATCATGAGGTAGTTGGTGAGGTCAAAACCTGCCAGATTTAGCTGCTGGACGCTGTGAGGGAGACAGTAGCCCTCAAAGATGGGTACACACTGCGTGACTCCCGCACCCGAGTTAAGCACAAAGCCAGTTGTGAAGCCTGCAGCAAACAGTGCCAGGACTCCTTGGATGGACATATAGAAGGCGGGCACCTCCAGATGCTCAAAGAACACTTCACTAGTCTGTTGCCGGTTAAACAGGGGGTTCAGTGCTGGCTCTGTGATCAGGACTGGGCCATCACAGGACTTGAGCTTCAAGTCATGGTCATAGATATGCTTCCACACGAGCTCCATGTCTTTCCAGGAAGTAATGAGCCCACGATCCACTGGATAGCTGGAAGGGAGCACGAGAAGAGAAATGACAGCTTTCATTTTTCAGCTTGAACACCTTGCCAACCTGAATCTAGTCTCATGTCTATTACCACTATCTCTACATGGATTGTGACTGGGAAGGCCTGTCATGGAAGTTAGCTATTAGCCAAAATTAACATAGCATCGCCTTTGCAATTTTTATTACTTTCTACCTTTTGGAAAGACCATCAGTCATGGGGGCAGAGGGGGAGAGGGAAGGATCAGCTCACTTAATAGTTCATATTGTTTTGGTTGGTTTTTTGTTTGTTTTGTTGTTGTTTGTAGAAAACAGCTGCTTTTTATTTATGTAGAAAGCAGAAATGCATAGTATTCCATTGTGTGAATGTACCATCATTTTCAATCCATTCATTTGTGGTTGTACATTTGTGCTGTTTCCATATTCTTGTAATGGTGAATAATGCTGCTATGAACATTGGTGTACAAATCTCAGTTTGTGCCTCAGTTCTCATATTCTCAGGGTATATTCCAAGCAGTGGAATAGCTGGGTCATATGGAATGTCTATGGTCAGCTTTTTGAGGAAGTGGGTTTTATATATATATATATTATAGAAGACTTCAAACATAGAAAATATGTTGTTTTTGTTGTTAACTGCTATGGGGCCAAGGACACAATTGTAGAGAGAATATCAAAATACCCTTCGGTATCTATGATCCCACGTCAGTAATCATTGACATTTTGGCCCATAGCATTTCAAAGGCTAAATCATTACAGAAACTATTCCAACTGCCCTCTGGAGCGATTGGGGGGTTCAAGCCAACCATCTTTAAAATTCTGAGCTTCAGCCACTGCACCACCAGAGCACCCCTTAACCAAGCTGGTGTTTTCTGAATAATAGCTTTATTTTTACAGGTGCATACATTTGTATAGGTACAGTGACTAAGTATTAGTAACTGCATTGTTTTTATTATTATTATTATACTAGTTTATTTACTGTTTTAACATTTCCATAGAAATCTGTGGCTTGTGTGATTGTCAATACTTTATCCTGCGCCCCAGCCTCAGTATAATACCTGAAGGACACAGCCTGTACCTGATGGACACGGGCTATACCTGATGGACACGGCCTGTACCTGATGGACACGG